AACACATCACTGCTTACTAGAAACTTTGGATGATGATATTTGTGGAATGCCATTTCATAAATGCATATCAAATTGCATTAATAAATTTCCTTAAACTTTTCATTTGCCAGAAAGATCCTGATATTATTATGGAAGGCAGGGGTGGGAGGGGAATCACTTGAATGAAAAATCAAGGGAAAAAGGACAGGATGGGGAGCCTTGGATCTGTCATAATTCAGGGAAAAAAAGATAGTTAACTGACAAAAAATTCAAAAAGTAAATGAAAGATAGTTAACTAACTAAAAATTCAATAAATAAACTGACTAAAAATTTGCATCAGCTACTTTAAAAGAAAATGTTTTAATATTTCAAAATAAGCATCAGAAAAATTTATATTAGATGCATAAAATTTACGTTCAAATTTTATATTAAAAATTTGTCATTTTACTTTTACAATTATAATAATAACTACAAAAATGTCAATGGTAACTTTTCAAAAATTATAATAAGCCAGTGGTAATGGTAATGGCTGCATTGAAGTCTGAAGAACTGGAATACTGTCTGTCGCTGTTTACTCTTGGCTTCTCCTCAATTTTAGAGAAAGGGAGCATTTTTTTCATTTTCAAAGTCAATCCTTCATTCCACACTTGATTCCAGTCCTTCACTCCTACCATGGTTCAATCAATGGCTTTTTTTTTTTTTTTTACCATCCCCCTTCCCTTAAGGTTCCCTCCACCAGGCCTATCTATAAACACACTCACAGTTCCTTAAAGAAACACCTATTTAACATCACTACGGCACTTTTTTATACCTCCTCTGGATTTTCCATAATCCATCCAGAATTAGTTATCTGTATATGTCTTGTCAACTCCTTGAGCACTAAGGGCATCTCATTTATTTGCACTGTATCTTCTAATTACATCAACTATACTATTTTACATACAGAACGGGCATTTATTGAATAAAGAAAGAAACCTACCTAAACTATAGATTCTCTGTGGACATATAAGGGCTATTTGACAAAACTACATTGTCCAATTTAAGCTTCTCAACTTAAACAAATCACTCTGACAGGAGAAAGGCAAAGAAGTTACATAGCAACACAATCTTAAACAATTTTACAATATCATTATCTTTAATAACTCTCAAATCATTTCTTGAAAATGATTTACACAAAAGTATTCTGAATTCAGAAAATGTGACACTTCAGTTTTTTGGGGTTTTTTTGAGTTGAAGTCTCACTCTGTCCCCCAGACTGGAGTGCAGTGGCCGCTCCTGGCCACCGCAGCCTCAACCTGCTGGGCTCCGGCAATCCTTCCACCTCAGCCTTCCAAGTAGCTGAAACTACAGGCGTGTGCTATCACGCCTGGCTAGTTTTTGATTTATTGTAGAGATGAGGTCTCGCTAAGTTGCCCAGCCGGGTCTTGAACCCGCGGGCTCAGGCAAGCCACTCACCTCAGCCTCCCAAAGCACGGGATTACAGGCTGAGACACCGAGCCCAGCTGACACTTCAGTTTTATTCTAATACTAAGGGTTCCTTCCCTTAAAAAATTTTTGTTATTCATGAACTACCAAAAATAATAATTAACCAACAATTAAACAATTAAATCATTGAAGGTCCATTTGTTATTTTTAAAATAAAAATCAGTTTGTAAGCATGTAGTTATTTAAATAAACTGTAATTTTATATCTAATATATCAAACATGGTAATGTAGTATGCAAAATTGAACTCAAACTTATTTCTATATTTCTAAACAAACTGACATCAGTGGGAGGAGCAGCTAAGAATATAGTGGCAAACTTTTAACATTTGAGAAATCGACACTTAAAGTTTCTGTTTTTGTCAAATGAATGTAAAGGCCCATAAGATGGAAGTAACCTGTAATTTTACAAAGGCAACAAATGTTATAGTAGATAAACAGGAAGTGAGCCACTATGTTTAAGAGTCAGGATGGGCTGGCTCAGCCTGTAATCCAGCACTTTGGGAGGCTGAGGTAAGTGGATTTCCTGAACCCGTGGGTTCGAGACCCGCCTGGGCAACTTGGCAAGACCTCATCTCTACAATAAATCAAAAATTAGCCGGGCATGGTAGTGCACATCTGTAGTTCCAGCTTCTTGGAAGGCTGAGGCAGAAGGATTGCTGGAGCCTAGCAGATGGAGGCTGCGGTGGCTGGGAGCGGCCACTGCACTCCAGTTTGGGTGACAGAGTGAGACTAACTCAAAAAAAAAAAAAAGAGGATGGGTGATTGGCTCACATTTGGTCCAGTTGCTATGTATTATTTCATTAGCAGAACTTTGACAAAAAAACAACAATTTTCTCTCTCTGGAGGGAAAAAAGAAAATCAACTGCTATTGCTGGTGATGAAAGTAAAGAAGTCTAAGAAAGTGCTAGAGTTTAGCTACAAAATTGTAGGTTTAGAGGCATTAAAAAGCAAAATATCAAAATTGATAGTGTTCAGTTCTATGGTGGGTATAAGTCTGCCATGCATTCCATATCAAAACAGGTCATGAAATTTGGGAGCTAACTGGTCACAAAAATGGAAATAATGGACACTAGGGACACAAAAAAGTTGGGGGAAGGGGTAGGGTTCAGAAAATTACCTATTGGGTATAATGTTCACTATCTGGGGAATGGGCAACTTGAGACCCAATCCCCACCACTACACAATATGTCCATGCAACAAGCATGTACTTGTACCACCGAATCTAAAAATTTGCCACCACTATGACAGCAGATTCATTAGTTACTATTTATTGAGCACCTACAATACTTAATAAAACCCCATAACATGTTATTTAAAATCTTAAGTATTGTGTACATTACTGATGCAATTTAAATTCTGTGACAAGCTATATATTATTTTAAGCAAAATAAATAATAAAGTAAAAATTTAAAAACAAGGCAAGAAATTCATTAGACTGTTTCAACAAGTGCTCTTGCCAGAATTCATCTTATATAGGTCTGAGCATATATAAATTGTTGCTTAAAATTTCAGTTTTATTTTACTGTAATTCACATTAAAAATCATATCTGACTGCAAACCTTAAACTTGCCTTTATTTCCTGGCTGGCTCTGTGCCACAATTTCCCATTCCTTGAAATAATAATACCTAATTTGTTATAAGAATTTAAATTGTATCAGGTCATACACAGTACTTAAGATTTTAAAAACATGCCACAGGGATCTTGTTAAGTATTACAGGTGCTCAATGAATGCTAACTACTGAAACTGCTATTACAGTACCGACAGTCAAGTAAATAGGGAGATTCTCAAGGAGTCTGAGGTAGTGGATATTTTCAGTATTCTCTGTTTGTCTTCTCTTAGAGAGAAAAGCATGCCTCTTTTTTGAAGCTGTTCTATAGGCACTGGTGTCCTGCTTGCTGTCCCCTACTCTCTTAATGGGATCGGCTACTCTATTTCTCTCTGTAAACATTTTCATCCTTAAGCTAGGTGGTTAGAATACCTGCACTGCCATAGGAACCAGTGCTACAACATAAAGAAAGATAAGAGTCTAAACAAAGGACAGAGAAATAACAGAGAGGAGACTGCAGCTGACAGAAAGAATAAAATGCCACCCTTCTCCTTCTCAGGATATACTACAGTAGCTAGCCTCAGTAAAAGTAATATGAAGTATATTAAATACAATAGGGCTGAACATGGAAGCCCCACAGCTCAGTTTCACATAAAGAGGCAGGTACAGTTTACAGAATTTTAAAAGATAAACAAGTATCTCCAGGTATAGGACAGTTTACAATGGAAGACATGTAGGCAGGAAACTGCTACATTGGCCCAACTCATCCATCTACTACAAATTAAAAGGTTTTGTAGTCAGGAAACAAAGATAGTCTCTAAGAGTACCTCTCATTCTTACCATCTCCAATAGTTAGGCATTTTAAAAAACGATGGCCAGAAAGGGAACCCTCTCTGCGAGTGAAAAATTTAGTTTACTTTAGAAACAATTACTTTCTGTGCCTTGTTGCCCATAATTGTCTTATTTGGTTTAATATTTTGATTTATGCCTTTACCAGAAACTAGGGAAGTACCTATTCCAGCTCTGGCAGATTATGAAGATACATAGTCAAATATCCTTGGAGAGTTACACAAAATCAAAAGTATGGGCTGTGGAGACAAGCTAATCTTTTTTAGTTTACCTTTCTCTCATGAGTTCTCAGTATTCTCATTTATATGATAATTAATTTTCTCCTGATAAAAGATTTAATCAAGTGAATTAAAAAAAAAAAAAAAAAAACTTACCAAATAAAAGGATGTATTAGAAATGGGCGTGTGTCTGTAACTACCTACAGATACTATCATAGCTTTAATATAATTTATATCAAATGTGGGGTAGATGAGATTTGCTATTTTGATTGACATCTGTAACAAGAACGTCTTACTGAATGATTACTATGTAGCTGGCACATTACTTAAGATTTCACATATATGCCGGGCTCTGTGGCTCAGCCTGTAATCCCGCGCCTTGGGATTACAGGTGAGTGGATTGCCTGAGCCCGCGGGTTCGAGACCTGCCTGGGCAACCTGGCGAGACCTCATCTCTGCAATAAATCAAAAATTAGCTGGGCGTGGTAGCACGCGCCTGCAGTTCCAGCTACTTGGAAGGCTGAGGTGGAAGGATCGCTGGAGCCCAGCAGGTCGAGGCTGCGGTGGCCGGGAGCGGCCACTGCACTCCAGTCTAGGCAACAGAGACTCTAACTCCAAAAAAAAAAAAGATTTCACATATATTATCTCCTTGAATACTCACAATGACCTCAAAGATATGTTATTCCCATTTAGTAATTTAAAAAATTAAGTCACAGCAAAAAGATGAAGCCATCTGAAGAAGACAATAAGATAATCTTAAACAAACATAATTCCAGTTTCTGCAAGTACTAAATAATATTTGAAAACTCAATATTCAAATTGGTCTGTATTGGTCAAATATGAGTCTTAGTTAAGTGAAAAGTTTCTTCTTTTAGTTCTATTAGATCTAATGAAAAGCTGGATCAGAAAACCATCTCTTACCTGTGTTGCCATCTCCACTCTCCATAGATGGTTTACCGGTTTCTGACGGATTGTTCATTCTTGAGTCTGCAATAAATCAGAGGTAAATACGGTTATTAAAAAATTGGGAATTGCGATGGGGTTAAGGAAGCAAAACTGTGACAGAGGAAAGGGTTAACTAATGTTACACTCATACAATTCAAAGAATATGTGCTCACATGTCAGGCTAAAACAATAGAAATTGTAGAGAAAGGTTATCTGGAAGAAATTCAGAATTCCCTGGACCCTGGAGGGATCTACAAATGAATTGTTTTTCTAAAGAATTTTAAGATTCTTCTAAGAAGGTCAGCAGAACTCTAACCTGAAAAAAATCGTAATAGAGTCTGATGTGAAAGGAATAAATGCTTTATAGCATGAAGTATGAAATATATTTAAAAAGCAAAACTGGGAAGTGGGAAAGAATCTCAAAAAGTAAAAAAAAGTTATTCCCAAATAAAGTATCTTTTTCTATAACTAAAGATATTCATTAATTATAATCAAAACAAAACATTGGTAATCTCGTTATTAGATGGGATAGTAATTTAACCTATAAACCAAATAAAACATGTTTAAGAAAAATACTTCCAAATTTACTCCCTTCCCCAACCAAACTGAAAAGAATCAAAGTGAGACTATGTTAAATTCATATCTCAACCATGAACCAGTACGAGAAGTTGTACCATAAGGCATAACAGATACATCTAATATTTCAAAACTGAATCACAACCATTTCCACTTACAAATACTACTGCTGCAACATCCCAAATGAATCTGCTAATTTGACGTATCTTCTTTAGGGTTACCTGTTAATGAAGGTTTGTTTCCATAGGAAAAAGTTTTTATCAAGCAATAACAGGTATCTCAGAAGATACAGGAGAAGAGACAAGAACAACTGTGCTTTTCTTTTACCTCGTTGACAGAGTAACAAAACTGAATATACATGAAGATACCTCTTATTCTATATCTACTGCAAATTCAGTCTTATAATATTTATAATCAAACAAGTTTTGCCTTTTTCTTCCACTCAGTTAAGAACCATTTAACTACAATCAGTACTAGAGAACAAATATTTAAACTATACTGTATTTAATGTTTTAAAATCAAAGAGTATATTTTGTTATCTGCTTAAATGTCTAACTAGGAAATCAAAATAATCATTAGAAATCCCAACCATGTTGTCCACCGTTGCATTACCCACATGCATAATCAATGAGAAATCAGGAGTCCTTTTTTCATAATTTTCATTTCCAACCTAGAAGCTGTGCAATAGCTTTTCTAATACAGTAAGTTTTTGTAACTGATGCCTGTCATATGGGCTTAAGCAGTTCTATAATAACGTTGGTTTGTTCTTCAGATGTTCAAAGGGTTAAAATTCTTATGTCTGTGGTCATAAATGAGGGCAGCCCTACAACTTCCTTCTCACTGTGTCGAAAAATTTAAATATCATCTGAAAGGACACTAAAGTTTGAAAGGAACAGGTGTACAACTTAGTAAAAATTAGCTTTCTGAATGACTTAACCCAAATCTCATGAAAGTCAACAAATGTTAACAGAATATACCATTAAACATATACACGGCTCAATGCTTCCTTTAAATGAATTTTAGAGGAAAGTGGAAAACTGATGAATCAGTCAACATTCATAAAAGGGGTAACAATTTTCCCACATACAAAGGCACAGAAAGAAAGTAAGCATAATTCTTAACAAGTTGTAAGTTGATCTTGTACAATTCATATCCTAATTTTCCCGTCTATAAATTAAAGATCACGTCACAAGTATTTTATGTGAATCTCCTCAGAATCTTCTATTGAATTGTCAAGAGCTTCAAATGCATTTTTTAAAATTACCTCAAACAAACAAAAAAGGATAAAACAAAATTCTGATTAACCACAACAATGGGAAGACTAAACTGTATTTACTATTAACTGAAAGTAAGAGATGTAATTGCTAATTCTAAAATAAAATGCTAAAAAATATTTCAAAAAGGTATTTTTCTTTCCTTTTTTTGAGTTCCCAACTAAGTAAATGTAAGATTTAATTCTTGACATAAATTTGTTGTTTGTGCTATTTACCCTTTACGTATTGCTTCTTACTGTGCTAGACAGATATTTCTATTACCTTGGGTTTAGGCCATACCTTCTGCATAAGAATTCAAATGCTTTCAGAAGCGTTCTTTTAGTTTATCTTTGGTGACTATGAAGGTGACAGGAGCAGACTCAATTTTCAAGTGAGGAAAATGACATATAGAAATAAAAAGTTTTAAACGTAAAATATTCAAGTCCTGGAGTTCATATCATCTGACTTTCCAGGTGACTAGAATAACTGAAAAAGGTTTCAATAATCTGCATATAAACAGATAAAACTCCATACAAAGTATAGCCACCATTAGCCATTATATGTCTAAAAACCAAAGTGCCTCAATCTCTTTTATATCTTAGTCACCAAAGATGGTTTTTATATATTCAGGTTGGACACCTCCCTGCCCAAAAAGCTTTCTGTTCTAGGGAAAGAAAAAAAAAAACTCTAAAAGGAAGCATTAAACATTTAAAATTGTAGTTTTCTTAAGAATATAGTTGATTTTAAAAACAAAAAGGGGGTTAATATCAGCAAAAATTTGAAAACAGTTAACAGTTTCTAAAATCTGGAAATTGAACAACAGACCTATTGAAGTAACCCCTCAATGAATTACTCTTTTAATTAATATTTATGGAACAATTCTACGCTATGGCTCCACCTTATTTTTCACTAAGAATTTTTGGGGTTTGCATAATACATTCTTCATTAGACATGAAAAACATTTTTATTAACGTGTACATTATTTAGGTACAGTTTTTAAATGCTTCAGATTTACATGAAATGCTCTCAATAAGAATTTTCAAAAAGCAAAAATGTCCTTCATTCAAGCTGAATTCTAAATCCACACTATTTACTGCAAATACCCCCAGAAGAGTTAGTCACAGGGAGGGACCTACTGCAAATTCAAGTATGCTAGTGCTTTGCAAATGCTTTCCTCCTTCCATGCTCAATCCAGCTCCCCCCTCCACTGCATAGGTTGCCTATGCGATTAAGCATTTATGCACAGTCAACCCCACACATGCTATTTCCATATTAAAGCTTCTAAGAAAAGAACTGCACTGGTACCCACCTAGAACATAGTCACTGCAGCCCAGCATTGCTGTGAAATCTTCTAGAGGAGCAGATAGTCCAAACAAGGAAGAAACAGGTAGCGGTTTGGGGTGGGAGAAAGAAAGTAGTACTATTTCTAACAAATCTATACTATGTTCTTAAGAGAACAAGGTTGGGGGAATGGGGTAGAAAGTGGATTAAGGGGAGAAGCAAAATACAACTTCAGTTACACCATAGCAATCTTCAACTGAATAAGGAAACTTCAGTTGCTCTGAGGAGTTTTAGTCTTTCCTACCAGCTAGGACTGACATTGTCAAGGCAACTGAAGCATGAAAAGTTCCCCTTTTTGTAATAAAATAGAAACAAAGATTGCAGCTGGCAGTTTCCATAATGAAGCTTAATCAGTATGCGCGTGATTAGGGCCTTATGCAAATCTCTCCTCGTTAGCACAGCAGCCAGCACTTTGAAGTCCACGAACAATTCATTTACAGAATACACTGAAAGCACCCCTGCATAATTTAAATCTTGCATAAATATTTATCAGACTATTTGCATATTAATTGGCAGTGCATGAAGGGAAAAATTATCTCCTGAGTGCCAGCATAATAATTAGGAGGATAAAATGAGATTTCTTCCAATGGCCTGGCTTCTTGGACCCAACTTGCGATAGTACCGGGGGAGAAGGGAGGGATGGGAGACAGAGTTCTGTTAAAATGCCACCGAAATGACACGTACAAATTAGAAACAACTCTACAGACTTAAGCACCTTTAATCTTATTCCTGCTGGCAACAATGACTTCAGTAATAAGAGGATTTGCACAAAGCTTTCTACACAATCCAAATAATCCCAAGGAAACAATTAGCAAGGTAGAAGCTGAACACAGGGCTGTCAAGATGGTGCTAGTCTCCTGATAGGAAGTTTTCCAATTGTTAACATACTGTCGGAAGAAAGTCCTACTGTAAAACAAGGCAACTGTAAATCAGAAGCAGTACAAGACGTATAAAAGTATCTTCAAGAGTAAGGACATTCATTATTTACAAATCTTTTTATAATACTAAATTAACTAAATAGATTAGGTGAATGCTACATATTATGCAGTATTCTTCCTTCATGAAAATCAATCTCAAGTAGAAAGAGTTTGTGACAAAAATATGGGCCATGTAAACTGTGGAATTACTTATTAGAATTCTCAAGCAAATTTTACTTAATGAATATATATGGTGCATAACCCTTACTAAACAATATGTTTATTCAATTTAAATTGAATTTACAAGGTAAATCATCAATCCAGAATTTTTTGGGCATTACAATATGACAACATTACACCCTAACAATCATAAACAATTCAGGAGAAGATTTACAAAAACCCCATGGAATAATCATTATTACCTCCTTTTTAAAGGAAACTGAGAAGAGAACTAAAGCACTTTACACAATTACACCAATAATTTGGAGTCAGAATTTAAAACTAGATGCTACTGACATCAGGATCTGAGCTCTTGGCTATTCCTATGCATTATGGATGAGTTACACATTTAGGGAATTGTTGGGAGATGGAAAAGCAGGAGACTGAAATGGCTTGTTTTCAACGTAGTGAGGAATTCAGTATTTTATAGCAAAGACATTGTGTTTTAAAGGTATGTACAGATACACAGAGAAGTGCACTAGATTTGAGGAGAGTTCTCAGGGATGTCATCCCATTAATAACTGCTTTTACTTAGAATTAGATTTCAAGCATGTCAAATGTCAGATTTTAAAAATATTTATTTATCCTTTTCCAACATTATGGTTGAAATTAAACTCAATGTGCATATGAGGAAATGAAAGACATGATTTTTACAAGAGGCCTGTAAAAATAACATAAAGAAGCACAAACCTTTCTTAACTGTTAGATCCACACTCTATATTGCCAGTTTTTCTATTTTACAGAATCACATATGCTTATGAGGAGAGACTTTGGGGGGAGAAACTGAACACTACCATCTAGTACTTGTGAGACCTGTATAAGTTCCTTCCCTCTTTGAGTCTAAAATTTTCTCATCTGTAAAATTTTGACACTGTATATTCCCTGTCCTGAGGTTGTTGTGAGATAAATGTGTTCAGGCTTCTCAGACTACAGTTTGGACTACAGGAGTATGAGGCAGTTGTGTCAAGTCATAGACAAATATTTTCCATCTTTTGAAAGTATCAGTTTTATTTAATAGTAAATCACATCACTCTGTATTAAAATAAGCAAGAACACATTATAGACGAGAACACAAATTTCAAATGAGTTTTTAAGGTAAAATATGTCAGACTGTAAAAAGTCTCCTTGGTGGGAAAATATGTCAGTAAATGTTTGTTTCCCTCCTCTTCTGCCTTTACAAAATTTTAAATGTATTGCCTGTACTTATTATAGGATAGCTCTGCAATTTACCACCTGTCTTTTTATACTTTATGTAGTAACACCTTCAAACTATCTTTCTTGTGCTAATTTAGTTTTTCATACATCAGCTAAGGATGACTTGGAGCCAATCACTGCCAACTAAGGAGTATTTGCTGGTAATTACCCCATAGGGCAACACCTTGGTAGTGTAATAATCTCCCCCTCAGGCCAGGAGGGTCCCACCAGGACCCTGTAAAGCAGGGAGGCTGTAGTTTACCAGTTCACGTAGGCTATGATCTAAAGTGAGACCCCCTTCCCCTGTACTGCAAAGCTCACTCTGGCAGCTGACTTTGCTATAGTAGAAAGAACAAGAAAAATACCTTTCTGTCACTCTTGATCTGGGTACCCTGCATGTTTTAGAGCAGCAGTCCCTAACCTTTTTCGCATCACGGACCAGTTTCATGGAAGACAATTTTTTCACAAACGAGGGGGTGGGTGGGAGTAGAAATGGGAGGGAAGGATGGATAATCCAGTATTAGACTGTCATAAGGGGAACACAACCTAGATCCCCCAATGTACAGTTCACAGTAGGATTTGCACTCCTATGCGAATCTAATGCCACTGCTGATCTGACAGTAGGCGGAGCTCAGGTGATAATGCCAGTGATAAGGAACGGCTGTAAACACAGATGAAGCTTTGCTTGCTATGGGCCTAGTTCCTAACAGACCATGGGCTGGTACCAGTCACTGGCCAAGGGGTTGAGAATCCCTGTTTTAGAGGGCAGGTTTAAATATCAGAAGATTATCCAGGCCTCTACAGAGTGACTGGGGGAGGGATGGCCACCATCTTTCCCCTGTACCAATCAAGGCACATTTACATCAAAAAGAAGAAAAAATAAAGATAGCTTTTCCCACAGAGTCTCAGATGTTCATTTCATTTGGTCTTGTCTGAAATATCAGCAAAGAATCACTTAAATTAAAACTTAAAACCTGTTGTGGTGGCTCACGACTATAATCCCAACACCTTCAGAGGCTGAGGTGGGAGGATCACTTGAGCCTAGGAGTACAAAATCAGTCTGGGGAATATAGTGATATCCCGTATCTACAAAAAATAGAAAAGTTAGCCAGCTGTGGTGTTGCATGCCTATAGTCCCAGCTACTCAGGAGACTGAAGCCAGAGGATCACTTGAACCCAAGAGGTCGAGGCTGCAGTAAGCAGTAATCATGCCACTGTACTCCAGCCTGGGTGAAAGAGTGAAACCCTGTTTTAACAATAAAAAACAAAAAGCAAAACCTAAAATAAATACCTTTTTTACAAAAGAAAACCATTTCTGAGAGGTTTATGGGATTGTCATTCATTCATGCTTGCATGAATTAGTCCAATCTCACTACTGCCCTTTGACACCTAGTTTAGGAAAAATTTAGCCTTTTTTTCTAAGAGGAGAAAAATTCTACCAAGACCCAGAATTCAAGGCTAAAATTATTAAAATAATTTTTCACTCATGATTTTATGGGCTAGTCTAGACACCGTTAGAAATGAAATTGAGGGTAATGCCAACTGAATTACAAACTAGTGTTTTAAAACACACCTTTTTAGCAGGGCATAGTGGCTCACGCCTGTAATCCCAGTACTTTGGCAGATGGAGGCAAAAGGATTGCCTGAGTCCAAGGGTTCAAGTCTGGGCAACTTGGCAATACCTTGTCTCTACAATAAATTTTTAAAAATTGACTGGATGTGGTGGTGCCAAACCTGTGGTTCCAGCTATTTGGAAAACTGAGGCAGGAGGACAGCTCAAGTCCTGGAGTTCAAGTCGAGCCTGGGCAATAAAGCAAGGTCTAATCTCTACAAAAACAAACAAGCAAACAAACAAACTAAAAACAAACAACTAAAAAACCCAGCCAGGTATGGTGGCACTATCCTGAAGTCCCAGCTAGTTACTAAGGAAGTTGGGGCAGAAGGATGTCTGAACACAGGAGGTCAAGGCTACAGTGAGCAGTGAGCAGTGATCATGCCACTGCACTTCAGCCTGGATAACAGAGTGAGACCTCGACTCAAACAAACTAACAAACAAACAAAGAAACAAACAAAGAATACCTTTTGTGTGTGCGTGAACTGAGGTGAGCTTATACATGATCTTATTAAATCGTTAACATCATGAATAACCATTTCCACCCATTTTTTTGTACAGACTGTATACCTTCTTATGGGTAGAAATTTCTGACTCAACAACTATTCCCCGTCACCTTCTTTCTGTCTCATGGGGAGAGTTTGCATCTTTAGTACCACTGGTTTCACCCAGGAAATCTCAATCGTACACCAATATACCTTTTAAATTTCATTTCTTTTTAAAATCTACCATTATTTTAGTGTCCTACTGTTTACAGAAAACAACTCTTCAGTCAATGCTCAGTGATGAACATACTTGCATCACAAAAATTATAAATCATTATTTACTAAAAAATTCATCCAAAAAAGCCCATCCTCCAAATACGGCCTGAAATAATTTACTAATACCTAAATATAAAAACATTCCAGCATTTAAAAATTTTAGGCTCAGAACAAAGTGAAGGGTGTGGCACTGCTCCCATTCTTGTGTACTACATCATAGTATATGTAAATGAAACCCTCTAAGGCTGCATTATAGAGCTCTTAGCGCTAAAAAAAAAATCTTTTAAGGCTGGGTACAGTGGCTCAAGCCTGTAATCCCAGCACTTTGGGAGGCGGAGGGAAGAGGACTGACTGAGCTCAGGGGTTCGAGACCAGCCTGAGCAACATGGCGAGACCTCGTCTCTACAATAAATAAAAAATTGACCAGGTGTGGTGGCACACGCTTGTGGTTCCAGTTACTTGGAAGGCTGAGATGGAAGATCACTTGAGTCCAAAAGGTCAAGGTTGCAGTGTCTGTGAGCGTGCCAC